ATGAACAGTGATTTCGCCTACCCTAATCACCTTCCAAAGTTCATCGTATGGTCACGATTTTCCGATAGTGTCTCATTTTTTATTTTTTTTTTACAAATCGGAATGATCTGAAATTTGGAGCGTGTGTACATCTTCGTGAGACGGACATAATAGAAAAATAATTCACGAAAAATAAATTGACCAAAATAACTTCGAAACATTTCGGGGGTATTTTGGTCAATTTTTTTCATGTAAAATATTTTTTTGATATTTTTCGTAGATTCGCCTATTTTTTATAAACGCATGCTCCAAATTTAAGGTCATTCCGATTTGTAAAAAAATAAAAAATGAAACACTACCGGACAATCGTTACCGTGCGGTGAACTTTAGACGGTGATGAGGGTAAGCGAAATCACTGATATAGTATTTTTTTGTTATATATTATTTTATATTATAAAATAAATCTCTAAAATAATTGTTTGCATCCAAATGGGCCGGGATCCGGATTTGATACCATGCATACGTTTCAGAACTAGATTCGAATATTCTGGATCCGATCAAATCCGGATCCTAATGGATCTAGACCCGATCCGACCCATTCTCAGCCCTAGCTCTAGATCTATACCCATTGCGTTAGGTCTGGGTCCAATAGATCTGGATCCAGCTAGGTTTGAGTGCAACTTGGACCAATCTGTGTCAGGTGTATGCCCTCGAGCCCATATGTCAAGTTTGGGTCTTGGTCAGGTCCAAAACAGGGTTAACAAATAGATAAAAAATGTACAAGGAATACACACCCTACGCACGACACATGCATGTGCTTATAAGATCCCTAATTTAATGTGTACCTTTGTTTTTGGATAGTAAATGATCCTGCTCTTGCTCTAAAAATATTATTAGGTAGGAGTAATCTTTTCATTAATGTGGAATGGCCGAATGTTTTCAAAAAGAATATTTATTAGTAAACAGAAGTTTGTTTTTTTTTAATTTTAATTTTATTTTTATGTGTTAATGGTATTGCTGGAGGGTGGGTCATTACATTGAGGCATCAGCCCCGCCTAACCACCAATGCTCTAACCCCCTTCCCCTTATTAGTTGAAAGGTTTTGTATGCTTAATTTTAAAGAAACCTTTTTATACAGCACCACGGACGTTTAAAACATAGGGGAATTGATCAAAATACACATGATTTATTAATTATTTACTATTGTACTTATTTTCAACCATTTCTGCTCATGATTATACATCTTTTGATGGGATTTAAAAACAAAATATATTGGTATAACGTTAAATAGTTCATTTCTTAAGTACATATTGACAAAATTTCTTGAAAGTATATATAATTGCTATTCTCAACAGATTGCAATGGACATCTGAGACATCTTCGGTAATAGTTTTAAGTTTTTTATAAATCAAATTGACATGAAATTTGAGGTATGCCAACTCTTTATAGGGTGTACATAAAAAAGTTTTATAAACATTTTTAATAAACCAAAATGACCAAAATATGCATACAATTTATAAGGGTACGTATTTTTTTAAAATTTTATTAGGTATGCCTTTATGAGGAGTAGGCACACCCTAAATTTCATGTCAAAATGGTATATAAAATAGAAAATAAAAATTAAGTATGATATACACTCAGAGATGCCAATCGAAATCAGATGCTATGAAGCTAACTTGTGATAATATGACTGAAGCTATTCTAATCGTCCATTCATTTACACCATATGTATTTTGGTCCCACAAAAAAGGTTTCCGTAATTCTAAACCTTATGATGTGTGTTATTTAGTCCATGTGATTCATAAATGAAATAAGAGTCCCGAGTTAAGCAATTAACAAGGAATAGGGCCCTTTTCTCCTCTATCTAATCATGAGGGAAAAATGGCCCAACTCGGTGTGGTCCACTATTCAAGGGTGACTGACTTTCGGCAATCCTGTCCAAATGATGCCACCAAAACATCCATATAATCAATAATGAAAATTTGCTTTCCCCCATTTATAAACAATTCCCTATTTTTTGGTGTTGTTCAATTGCCTAATCTGGGGAGTTTTAACATTGAAGTAGTGCAAATTAAAAACAGGAAAAAGTTTATATAATGGTAAGGCCCTAAACAATCAAATTAAGGGGCACCTAAAAAATTCATTGGAAGAGGTTGTTTTGATGCTAAAAAATCCTCAAATCAATCATCTCGACCTCAAGATGAATGAACATGATAAAAAATTGATTTCAAGTATTGAAAATAGTACATATTAATGTACTTTTTAGATCGTTAATTTTCAAAATTTTCAAGTGTTTATATATCTGCTCGATCTCCACCACAAAGGTTTCAATACTAAGACATTTTTCGACACGATTTGAAGGTGCACTGTTTACGGCCTCAGCCTTATACAAACTCCACCCATTAAAAAATCCATGAGAGATTAACTATATATCTTATATAATTTCTATAATTACAAAAATCCTCCTCAATTTTTAAAATACGAGGCACACATCCGTTTTCTGATCCCATTTTTGTTATTCCTAATTTACCCTCATTTAGGATGTTGAAAACCCGAAGTCACAAAGTTACCTTATGATTGCATATTTTCCAATATCCGAACTCCGAAGTCATAACACAATCATAAGGTAATCCAATATCTTAATGAGGTGACCTTGTGACTTCGGGTATTGGAAATCCAAAGTCATAAGGTGACCTTGTGAATTCGGACATTGGAAATCCCAAATCCTAAGTGACTTTGATTTTTAACATCTAAAGTGAGGGCAAACTAGAAACAAAAAATTAGATCGAAAAAAGGATATGTGCGTAATATTAAAAATTCGAGGGAGATTTTAATAATTCATTAATTACATGGGGATATACGGGTAATTTTCTCAAAATCCATTTATGTCAAATGCCTTAAATCTCTCATTGGTCTTTCTCCCCCTTTTGCATGTCATTATGAAAATGGCTAAATCCACCACACACTTAGGTCATCTCTACCACTTATGGTGAACAAGATTAACCAAGATTATCACTCACTAGCTAATTTAATCACTGTCAAGAAAACTTGAGAACATCTTGTTCAACTCCCAGTCAGATTCTTTCCCTTATATCTTAGTAGGTATTTACTTTTGTGTTTTCCTATAAAATATTTAAGAATATCTCAATCACTTCTTGTCACTAAGCTTTAATAAAGAAGTTGGAACCCCACCACAATCACAAGAATTTACCCCCAACAAAAAACTACCATCACAAGATGGAACTCTCTCTCTTTCTCCTTGAACAGTATCTCTTTCTCTCTCTACCTATTTTTCTGCAGAAGAATTTGATGAGGAATGCATATTTAGAAAATTTCCAATTTGTGACTAGTATTGATTAAATTTTTTGTTATTATTAAAATTGTATGATTGAGGAACAAGGAAGCTTTCTAGAACATACAAAATAAGCCCAACCAACAAAAAAACTCAATAAATACAGAAATTAAGAGATACATTTCAATTAAAGTAAAGAAACCTGACTAAAGAATTACAAAATTGAGGAACAAGGAAGCTTTTTAGAACATACAAAATAAGCCCAACCAACAAAAAAACTCAATAAATAAAGAAATTAAGAGATACATTTCAATTAAAGTAAAGAAACCTGCCTAAAGAATTACAAACGACCCCCCCCTTTGTCTATCACTTTTATGGTAACTTGATCCCTCTCTCTCTCTCTCTCTATATGGTAACTTGATCCGTCTCTCTCTCTATATCTCTCCCTTAATGGTAACTTGATCCCCCCTCTCACTCTAGCCCCCTCTCTCCAATCTCGGTCTTTTTCTTGGTTTTTGTTGCCCAAGAGTTTGCAGAAACCCAGGCAAGAATACTAAAAAGTTTATCATTTTGTCGTCATTCTTAATTTATTAGTATTAAATACAAATATTTTCACTATTCTAGAACAAGGAAGTTTTTATGACAGACAAAATAAGAACACCAAACAAACAAACATAAATAAAGAATGAAACCCATTTGAAATCCAATTCAATAGAAGACATGCTAAATCCAAGAAATCTCTCTCTCTCTCTCTCTCCTATTTATGTTAATAATTCTCAGAAATCCATGCATACATAATTTAAAATTTAAAATCTTCTACAGTTCATAGTCAAAATTTCATGTTTCGAGAACGAGGAACCTCAGACAAGAGACCAGAAATGAGGAACATGTACTGAAGAAAGAAAACTCATTTGAACAAAAGTCTATCTCTCTCTAGAATTTTGTTTGTGTATTAGAATTTTCAGAAATCCAGGTATTACAAGAGCATTAAATTCTCATTTACTCCCTCCCACCTAATCATCCCCGATTCAGAAGCCTGCCATTAATGCACTATTCAATGCTCTCTGTTAACCCACCTCCCTACATGGTTTCTACAGCAAATTTTGGATCCAAAAGCAATAAAAAAAAAGCCCATTTTCTCTCTCTACATCTGTGATTCTTCCTCATGAAGATCCATCGAAGAAACCCGCCTCCATTTGAATCTCAACTCTCAGTCATGAACACCAAGGGACCAACCAGAGAGAGGAGGAGGAGAAGAAGCTACACTCTTTCTGGCCCAACAGCCAGAGAGAGAAGAACCCACTTTTTCTCAATCTCCAATCTTCACTCTCTCCTCCTGCTCTTCCTGGTTTTCTATGAATTCCGCCAAGTTTCAGGCCTTGGATCCATGTCATCCCTTGCTGTCTCTTATGGTGAGAATGGACCAAGCCTTTGTGGCCTAAATGCTGATGGTTCTCACCTTGTGAGCTGCTATGGCTCTGATACATCAGTTGTTTATGGAGCTCCATTTAGAATTCCATTTTCTGGCTTAACAGCAGGTGATGGCTTTGTTTGTGGTCTTTTAATGGAGTCAAAGCAACCTTATTGTTGGGGAAACAATGTCTATATTCAGATGGGTGTACCTCAACCAACGGCTCCAATGGCTTCTTACTCAGAGATCAGTGCAGGTGACCACCATTTATGTGCTTTGAGAGAAAACCCATCTCACGTTCTCAATGGTAGCTCAATCTCAAGCTTTCAAAGCTTCGAATCCTTGAATTTAAGCTTCAGTTACAGATTGGAAAGGAGCTCTATAGTGGATTGTTGGGGCTATAACATGACTGCAACTCATGATATTCAGGGTGATTTGAGGTCTATCACAGCTGGTTCAGTGTTCAATTGTGGTCTTTTTAGAGAGAATAAGACTGCTTTTTGTTGGGGTGATGAGACTGGGAGTGGGGTTATAAGCTTGATTCCAAAGAATTCGAGGTTTAGAACCATTTCAGCAGGTGGATTCCATGTTTGTGGTGTTTTAATGGCCTCCCTTTCAAGGGTTCTTTGTTGGGGTAGGAGCTTGAGTCTTGACAATGGCAAAATGGAATCAATTCCTACTGATTCTATGATCTCCATAGTGGGTGGTAGGTTTCATTCTTGTGGTCTAAGAGCAAGGGATAAGGGTGTTTCTTGTTGGGGTTTCATACTTGATACTAGCACCCCTGTTCCTGCAAATATTAGGGTTTTGGCTCTTGCAGCTGGTGATTACTTCACCTGTGGGGTTTTGGCCTCTGCAACCTTACAGCCAGTTTGCTGGGGTTCGAGCTTTCCAACCAATTTGCCCATGGCTGTGAGCCCTGGAATCTGCTACTCTGAGAAAACTTGTAGTACTGGTTTCTATGCATTTCGCCATGAAAACTCAGATATAGATCTATGCAAGCCTAATAAGCTCTGCTTACCTTGTAGCCATGGCTGCCCTTCTGGTATGTATCAGTCTTTTCCTTGCACTGAGGCCTCAGATCGAAGGTGCGGCTTCAATTGTTCGATTTGTTCATCCCCTGAGTGTTTTTCTGCCTGTTCTTTTCAAATACACGAGAGAAACAGGGCTCTCCTCTCTCTAAAATCCCCCGTTTTCTTCATTGAACTAGCCATTGCTGTAGTACTAGTTAGCATTGTTTCATTGCTTGCTGTTGCTTATGTTCGAATTAAGTTGCAGAGGTGTAATTGTTCGGCGATAGAGCCAAAAACCAATACGAAAACCTGTTCTTTTCGCAAGGAATCAATCAAAATTAGCCCTGATTTAGATGAGCTAAAGATCAGAAGGGCTCAGGCCTTCTCTTATGAAGAGCTAGAGAGAGCCACAGGTGGGTTCAAAGAGGAATCCATTGTTGGGAAAGGGAGCTTCTCAAGTGTGTTCAAAGGTGTGCTCAAAGATGGAACAGTGGTTGCAGTGAAGCGAGCAATAATGGCTTCTGATGTGAAGAAAAACTCAAAGGAATTTCACACCGAGCTCGACCTTCTCTCTAGACTGAACCATGCTCATCTTCTAAACCTGTTGGGCTATTGTGAAGAAGGGGGAGAAAGGCTCTTGGTCTATGAATACATGGCTCATGGCTCTCTCCATGAACACCTCCATGGAAATAGAAAAGAGCCTCTAAATTGGGTTAGAAGGGTCACCATTGCAGTCCAAGCAGCAAGAGGAATCGAATATCTCCATGGCTATGCTTGTCCACCTGTGATTCACAGAGATATCAAGTCCTCAAACATATTGATCGATGAAGAATTCAACGCAAGAGTGGCAGATTTCGGTCTCTCTCTTTTGGGTCCAGCTGATAGTAATTCACCATTATCAGAGCTTCCCGCAGGTACATTAGGCTATCTAGACCCTGAATATTACAGGCTGCATTACTTGACCACAAAATCAGATGTTTACTCATTTGGGGTTCTTTTATTAGAGCTCATTAGTGGTAGAAAAGCCATTGATATGAAATTTGAGGATGGAAACATAGTGGAATGGGCTGTTCCTTTGATAAAAGCTGGTAATTTGAATGCAATCTTAGACCCCAATTTGAGACCACCAGTGGAGATGGAAGCAATGAGGAGAATAGCGAACATAGCGAGTCGATGCGTGAGAATGAGAGGAAGAGAGAGGCCGTCAATGGAGAAAGTGACAACCGGGCTCGAAAGGGCCTTGGCTTTGTTAATGGGAAGTCCATGCAATGAGCAACCGATATTGCCAAGTGAGGTTGTTTTGGGGAGTAGCAGGCTTCATAAGAAGGCCTCTCAAAGATCGTCGAATAGGTCAGGAAGTTCAGAGACAATTGATAATGAAGATCAAAGGTTTGAGTTTAGAGCTCCTTCTTGGATTACTTTTCCAAGTGTTACTTCTTCACAGAGAAGGAAGTCCTCAGGGTCGGATGGAGATGGAGATGGGAAGAATTGTAGTGAAGTGAGAGATGGGTTGAGGTGTTTGGATGAGGAAGAGATTGCGCCTGCCTCACCTCAGCAAGAGCTCTTTTTGCAGCATAATTTTTGAGGTTAGAGAGAGAAGGGAGATGAGAGCAAAGTGGGTTGGAGCTCCCTCTTTCTCTCTATCCTATTTTTAAATTTTTGAGGTTAGAGAGAAGTCAGTTGGATCTCCCTCTTTCTCTTTCCTAGTTATTGTGTGTGTTTCTCTCTCTCTCTCTCTCCCCTAGAGGATTGGGTGTGATTGTGGAGTGAGATGGGTATGCTTTCAGTCATAATACTCTTTGCAAGTTGAGAAATGGGTTTTAGATCTCTCTTCCTCTGGTTTTGAGAATTGGGTGCATTGATAGAGAGGAAGTGTTTTGGATTCAGAATGTTGATGTTTTTTCTATTTTGAGAGACAGAATGCATTGCTCTCTCACTTAATTTGCTTTCCGTCATGGTGGCTTTCTGATCAGAATTTCTGGGATCAAGATGGGGTGCTACATGGGTGATATTGCTTGGACCTCTCTCTCTTTGGAGATTGGTTAAAGGTGAAGAGAGAAGTGATGTGTTCAGTCATGGGCTTGACCTGATGAAAGCTTTGGGGACTCATATGACTGATCAAATCTGGAAAGGCAAATCATGAGAGAGAGAAATGGGATGGTTTTCTTTGTTTTCTTGAAGCAATGGGTGTAAATGTGAGATCAGTTTGTTGGTTCAGTCATGGCGGCTTTTATCTCACAAAATTTTGGAGGTCCATGTACTGCGCCTATCAAATTCCCACACTAATTGTGTTTATTTGGTGTACTAATATCTTAAAACACTTGGCTTTGAATGCATTACTGTGTTTCCAATTGTTTATGCAAATCTGAGTGCAGCAAATTTTAGTCCTATATGCTCTTTGCATTTCATATAGTACTTTGTGCGCGTTCTAGACCGTCTGGATTTTATTTTCTGTCTTTACTTCATGACACAATTCCCTATTGTAAGGTTGTAAAGATATTTGTTGTATTTTCTCGAGTTCTATAAATGAAAATGGATCAGGGGCTTTTCCTCCACTGATTTAGCTAAAAAAAAATAGTGTTTTTTGTGATGGAAAATTGTTTCATAGATTGCATTTCTATATATACGGCCTACAAGGTGTAAAGCATCCATTTTAAAGATGGTTGTAAATAGATGGTCCAACCAAAAACAATTGAAACTAATTGTTCAAATGTTTTTTTAACAGAATTATTATTTTTAATTTTTAAAATTTATTTATTTTTTCATATTCATGATCTCCATGTTAGAGATTACATGTCCTTAAAAATTAGATAAAAAAATCCATCTTAAAAATAGATTTTTAAGAGGCGACACATTTCTACGTAGATTCATAGAAACCATGTCCCTTTGCGATTCAAGTGTACAGTGTGCTCCTATGGGAGCACGCTATAGGCACACTCGTGCTTTTCATTTCTAAATCTATTTTGTTTTTTGTTTTGTTTTTTCCATTTTGCTTCATGTTTTACCTCTTTTATTTATTTATTTATTTTATTATTATTTTTCTTCTTCTTCTCTTCCTCCGATGTTTCGTGTTTTTCCTATTTTTTACAACTTGATGAATGTTTGAGTGGTATTCATTGATGTGCTGACTAGGTAATGGGGTTTTGTAGGTACAAGATAAGAGAAGAATTTATTAAGAATTCATGAAAATTAATGATAAATGCAGGCAACTTAGAAATAAATAATACTGTGAGAAGAAAGTTTTTTGTAGAGGGGAAAAATAAGAACCAGTAAAACTGTATTTTTGTCGAGGTTTGTTCCAAAATTTTTGATGTAACTGTTATTGGTATAGTGGATTTCAGTTTGCCGTGCCCATAAATGTAGGTCTTCTAAGATGGACCACATAAATCTTTGTGTTCTTGTAATATGTATTTCATGTTTTATTTTTCATATTTTATTTGTCAAAAAAATTAACCCATTAAGTTTAAAAATATCAACCCATTCGATTTTGCGCATACCAATAATGCCACATGTGAATGTGGTAATATAAGTCCATCATACCATAAATATCTTCTCTCTATATAGTCCCGTGAGCTTCTTAACATCAATGAGAGAAAAGATGTGGATGTTTCCTACCTGTAACTTCTCTCTCATTGATTTTATAATGGTCATTGGTCAATCAAATTTTAGAAGCCACTTAATAATCACTATTTATTATTCTCAAAAGAAAAAAATATGGATTTGGAGGTTTTGATCACTTAGATATCAACCTCTAAAGATTAGTTGATCTCTATTTAATTCAATTTTTGAAAATTTAATTTGTAAGCTGGGAGTGAGTTGCTACTCAGCTGGCTCTCCCAGGTGATGATGGTGTTTCCCTCGATAGAGTTCTCCAAAACATCAGCAAGTTACTTTGGAGTTGGCCAGCTATTACCGAGGAAGGAAGGATTTGGCATTTTTAGAGTGGATGCTATGCTTAATCTTCCAAATCTTTTTCGCTTGGATGTCGTCAAGTGTTGAGAAGCACTTGGTCACTTGACCATTAATGGGTTGTTTCAAGCTCAATTTTGATGGTATAATAGTAACCCACCAGCATTGGGGGAGTTCTTAGGAACTTGAATGGGGTTTATTTTTAATTGAAACAAAATTTAGACAAGATAAGAAAGTGTTTCTCTCTTTCTTGGTTTCTCTGAGGCACACAACGTCTCCCATTATTGTTCTAGCATGTTTGAGCAAATTCATGCCTTTGAAAATTGAAAAATTGTTGACCACCAAAGTTGTTTGTGCCTTCAAATCTGTAATTTATTGTACTTTTGTTAGGTCCAGCAAGAAACTATATTCTGTTTTGGATATGAGTGGTTTTCATAGACATGAGACTGATTTCTAATCTCATGGCTTTGAAAAAGTGGTATACTTTTAGAATAGAAATGAATCGGAGGCTTAAACGTAGCCGTAGCAAAACTCTCATATTTTGGACCAAGTCCATTAAGAAGCCAAAGTACTTTATTTTCATCTGGTACATGTTTTCCAATAACTGCTAAATCATCACAAATACTCTTGAATTTGTATATGTATTTTGATATGGTTGAATTCGTTTTCTTGTAAAGTTGGAGTTGCTGGGTAAGTTGGAACTCCCTAACTTGAGAATTACCTACATAAACATTCTTCAGACATTTTCAAACTTTTACATAAGTCTTGAGGCAACAACAATGACTAAGACACTCTTTGGATAGTGTCCTTGTGATCCAGGTTGTCCCATGCAGACTTTAAGAAGCTGGTCAGACTTTAACCATGATTTGTAATCTGGGTTTTCGATTTCACTATTACCATAAGGAGAAGAAATCTTTTGACTTGGAATAAGAAAATCGCCATTAATGAATCCAAAAAGTTCCCGACTCTCAGTTAAGGAGAGCATTTGAGTTTTTCATAATAAATAATTGTTATGTGTGAATTTAATAGACACAAAATTTCCTATATTAAAAGTTGAGGGATAGTGATAGGATATAACGGTTTTTTTTTTCATAATTAATGAGGATATACGAGTGGATTTGGCGAGTTCGTGTGATAGAGAAGAGGGCTTTGATTCGAAATTTATAGAGAGAGAATGACGAGCAGCAAAAGACAATTAAAGAGTCACATTTTGGAGGCAAAAGACCAAGGTATTACGTAGACCAGTAGGACAAGCAATAATCAATGAACAATGAACAAGTGTACTGATAACCAGTGAAAGTGTGTAACGTTTTGGATAAAAAAAAGAAGTAGAAAGGGATTGACACGACCAGTAGGAATGACACGACCAGTAGGAATATAGGATTAGGTAACGGGCGTACCAGCCTTCTGAATTCGAAGCTCCAAAACTAGACGAGAGATCTTTAGCTGCTTGCCATAGAACAAAAAATATAAGATCCGCTGAAAAAACTGATGCCAATATTCGACCTGTGATAAGCTTATAAGCTTGGCTCTGATATCATGGAAGTTTTTGAGAGCTCAACTTTTTTTAATTTTCACCTATTCTGGCCCCATAGGTGTTGCCACTACAATGTTGTCGAATTTTTGGCTCTTCTCCAAAGTTTACAACTCTTTTCAAGTAAGAATTTGGGAACCTTGTGATTCGATGAATGTCACTGCAATAAGAAACAAAGAGTACCTTGGGAGTTTAGATCAACTTGGTTGCAAATCCTCGATTTGCCTAAATGTCTCAATATATTTTGGGAAGTTAATTCTATTGCTGATTCCCTCTCCAAGAGGGGTATCTTATTGCCTTCTCTTTTAATATCTGACGCTGTAATTTCCTCGGGGCAAGTTTTTTATGTTTTTTCTACAACAGAAAACTTATATACTTCCTCTTATCCAACCATCCATTTTGAATGGAGGGCTAAGATTGCCCCAATCACAATGTCACGTCTTTACACTATTTTATTTTTATTTTTATTTCTATAAACTATTTTGACACTAAATTTTGTACGTCCAATTCTCTATTAAACTTGCACTAGTCAAAAATGTATAAAAAATATTTTCACTAAAATAAAATGATCAAATTACCACTGAAAACTTCAGGGGTATTTTGGTTATTATATTTTATCGAAAAATTATTTTAAATACTTTTTTTATAGGTGTACCCCAATGAGAAGGTGACACAAACCAAATTTCATATTCATACAATTTGTATAAAAACTGGCTAAAAATAAAATATTTTGAGACGTCAGATCTAATATCAAACAGTGAGTGGCTCTCTTGATCAAAATTGGATGGCTGGTTGGTAGGAGAAGTATAGATCTTCTATGCTGTAGAAGAAGTATAGAAACCTTTAATTAATATATTTGTTAACTTCTGTTTAAAAATAAAAGAATTTAATTTTTAGTGCCAAAAAGGAGAAGTTCATCAAAACACAACTAAGAGATGCATTCAATCTTGAGATCTTTTTGGAAGTGCTAAGGGTGCAATTATAAATTCTTTTTGGGAAAGTTTACAAATTATTCATGAGAGATGCACTATTTACCATTTGCACTCTTAACACTATTCCGAGCCTCTTTATGGATATTTTTGATAATTTATACTTCTATTTATTTTTTGAGGTTAAATCTAGATGGGGTTTTCCCCAAAGGTGCATAATATCTTTTTGGCTAAAATACTTTGCATAAAATTTCCCCAAGGGCACTTACTCTTAAATAATCAATCTAGGGATGGCAACCTCAATACCCAAAAAAATGATACGGGACTCGGACTTTGACCTAAAAATATAGTGTAGGACCCAGACCCGGATCCGACCTAAAAATTAAAACATCTATACTTTGATTGAACTATATTTAAATATATTTCATATAGTAGATACCCAAAAATATATTTCGTATAGTAGATACCCAAACAATATTACGGGACCCGGGCCAGACCCAGCGGGTTCAATTTTTTGGACCCATACTAGGCGAGCTTTAAACCATTGCATTGAACTATATTTAAATATATTTCATACAGTAGATACCCAAAAAGTATTATCGGACCCGGACTGGACCCACCGGGTTCAATTTTTGGACCTGTCCCGGAGCAGGTCTACCCCACGGGTTCGGGTCCATTGCCACCCCTAGCACTTAGCTACGCTAAAATAATTTGTATAATTCTTTCCCAAGGGCTAGCCGCGGCTAAGTTTAGAAAGGGGTAAAAAGGAATAATGATCCTATTGAAAGAGAGCCGACAATTATTCTTCTGATGAGGATGGATAAATATTTCAAAAGCGTAAGGGCCGTATCTGAAATGGCAAACCAATCATGAGGGAGGGATAAATCAGAAGGATGCATAAATATTTCAAAAGCGTAAGGGCCATATCTGAAATAGGACAAAAACAAAATGGGGATAAAATTAA